AGCTGGTAGCAAAAGGAGAAAATGGCCGTGCTGGTTATCTGAATATTTGTGCATTTGGACGTCGCATGTAGCTCGGGTAGCAGATGGAGAAAATGGCCGTGCTGGTTATCTGAATGTTTATGCATTTCGACATCGCAAGTAGCTGAAGGCAGATGGAGAAAATGGCCGTGCTGGTTACCTGAATGTTTGTGCATTTGGACATCGCAAGTAGCTGATAGCAGATGGAGAAAAACGTTCTGCTGGTTATATGAATGTTTGTGCATTTAGACATCGTAAATAGCTGACAGGAGATGGAGAAAATGGCCGTGCTGGTTTTCTGAACGGTTATGCATTTGGCCATCTCAAGTAAGTTAGCTCGGGTAGGAGATAGAGAAAATGGCTGTGCTGGTTATCTGAATGTTTGTGCATTTGAACATCGTAAATAGCTGACAGGAGATGGAGAAAATGGCCGTGCTGGTAGTGGTAATCTGAAGGTTCGTGCATTTGGATATCGCAAGTACTCTAGCTGGTAGCAGATGGAGAAAATGGCCGTGCTGGGTATCTGAGTGTTTGTGCATTTGGACCTCGCAAGTAGCTGGTAGCAGATTGAAAAATGGCCACACTGGCGATCTGAATGTTTCTGTATTTGGACATTGCAAGTATCTGGTAGCAGATAGAGAAAATGGCCGTGGTGGTTTTCTGAATGTTTGTGCATTTGGACATTGCAAGTAGCTGGTAGCAGATGGAGGAAATGGCCGTGCTGGTTATCTGAATGTTTATACGTTTGGAGATCGCAAGTAGCTCAGGTAGCAGATGGGGGAAATGGCTGTGCTTGTTATCTGAATGTTTGTGCATTTGGACATCGCAAGTCGCTGGTGGCAGATGGAGAAAATGGCCGTGCTGGTTATCTGAATGTTTGTGCATTTGGACATCGCTAGTAACCGATAGCAGATGGATAAAATGGCCGCGCTGGTTATCTGAATGCTTGTGCATTTGGACATCGCAAGTGGTTGGCAGCAGATGGAGAAAATGGCCGTGCTGGTTATCTGAATGATTGTGCTTTTGGACACCGCAAGTAGCTGGTAGCAGATGGAGAATATGGACGTTCTGGTTATCTGAATGTTTGTGCATTTGGACATCGCAAGTAGCTGATCAGTAGCAGATGGAGAAAATGGTCGTGCTGGTTATCTGAATGTTTGTGCATTTGGACATCGCAAGTAGGTGGTAGGAGATGAAGAAAGTGGCTGTGCTGATTATCTGAATATTTGTGCATTTGGACATAACAAGTAGCTGGTAGCAAATGAAGAAAATGGTCGTGCTGGTTATCTAAATGTTTGTGCCTTTGGACATCGCAAGTAGCTGGTAGCAGATGGAGAAAATGGTCATGCAGGTTATCTGAATGTCTGTGCGTTTAGAGACATCGCAAGTAGCTGGTAGCAGTTTGAGAAAATGGCCGTGCTGGATATCCGAATGTTTATGCATTAGGACATCGCAAGAATCTTGTAGCAGATGGATGAAATGAGCGTGCTGGCTATCTTAATGTTTATGCATTCGACTTACTGAACATCTCAAATATCTATTAGTAGATCGCAAGTAGCTGGTAGCAGTTTGAGAAAATGGCCGTGCTGGATATCCGAATGTTTATGCATTAGGACATCGCAAGAATCTTGTAGCAGATGGATGAAATGAGCGTGCTGGCTATCTTAATGTTTATGCATTCGACTCACTGAACATCTCAAATATCTATTAGTAGATGGGGAAATTGGTCATCCTGGTTATGTAAATGTTTTAAGGCATTCGGGCAGAAAATGGTAGCAGGTGGAGAAACTGGTCGTGCCGGTTATAAGAATGTTTATGCATTCGGACATCACAAGACTTGTGATGTCCGCATGCATAAACAATACTTAGTATAGCTGGTAGCAGAAGAAGAAATTGGTCGTGCTGGTTATCTGAATGTTTATGCATCCGGACATCGCAAGTATCTCGTAGCAGATCAAGAAACTGCCTGTGCTGGTTAGCTGAATATTTGAGCACTAGGTCATCGCAAGTATCTGGTAGCAGATGAGAAAATTGGTCGTGCTGGTTATTCGAATGTTGTCTGGTAACAGATGAGGAAACTGGTCATGCTGGTTATCCGAATGTGTATGCATTGACACAAATCAAGTATCTTGTAGCAGATGGGGAAATTGGTCGTGCGGGTTATCCGAATATGTACGCATTCGGACATCGCAAAAATCAGGTACCGGATGGAGAAAATGGTCGTGCTGGATATCTGAATATGTATGCATTCGGACATCGCAAATATCTGGTAGCAGATGGGGAGATTGGTCGTGCTGGTTATCCGAATGTTGTGAATTAGGATATCGCAAGAATCTGGTAGCAAGTGGAGAAAATGGTCGTGCTGGATATCTGAATGTTTATGCATTCGGACATCGCAAGTATCTGGTAGCAGATGGGGAAATTGGTCGTGCTGGTTATCCGAATGTTTATGAATTCGGATATCGCAAGAATCTGGTAGCAAGTGGAGAAAATGAGCGTGCTGGTTATCTGAGTGTTTATGCATTCGTACGTCGCAAGTATCGGGTGGCAAGTGGAGAAAATGGTCGTACTTGTTATCTGAATGTGTGTGTGCATTTGGACATCGCAAGTATCTGGTATCAGGTGGACAAACTGATCGTGATGGTTATCTGAATGTTAATTCTTTCGGACATTTCAAGTATCTGGTAGCAGATAGAGAAACTGGTCGTTCCCGTCATTCGAATGCTCCTGCATTTGGACACCGCAAGTATCTTGTTGCAGATGGGGAAAATGGTTGTGCTGGTTATCCGAATGTTTATACATCCGGATATCACAAGTATCTGTTAGCAGATGGAGAAATAGGTCGTGCTGGTTATCCGAATGTTTATACATCCGGATATCACAAGTATCTGTTAGCAGATGGAGAAATAGGTCGTGCTGGTTATCCGAATGTTTATCGTAATTCCGCGTATTAAAGCCCACTGGCCTATATCCGGATATAAGCCCATGAGCTAATAAACAGACACAAATGCAATTCGAGTGTCAAGTAGAATTTTTCACAATCAGGACTCTTCCTACCATGGTACAGCAGGTCAGTGCAGTTTACCAGTAGAGTATGGTAGACCTGTAGCGGCCTGACTCCTAAATACGTCCCTTCATACATACAAGCATGCGCAAGAAAATAAATCATTCTCTTTGGTCTCAACTTCTTTTTGTCCGGTTGGCCAAAGTAGCCGTCGTCTAGGGCCAGGCGTAAAACCCTAAAGACCCACTATGAGCACGGACTTGTACTTTTTCGTGAACTTTCAAAATTCGAATATCGGCCCATGGGCTAAAAAGGAACATGTTTTAATGAATATTTCATCCCCAAACTGCATTATTTCACATATAAGCCCATGGGCTTATATGTGCGGAATTACGGTATGCATTCGGACATCGCAAGTATCTGGTAGCAGATGGGGAAATAATTGGTCGTGCTGGTTATTCGAATGTTTATGCATTCGGACAGTACCGTAAATGTATCCCCCTACTGCATGACATGTTGCATCACAGTAGTCTACGGTGCAGGCATGGCTAGGAACATTCCGCTGTCAGCTACATCAAGAGTCCATAACCCCCCAGAGTGTGCAACTCGTGATCCTTCTCAGCACAAATCAGTGCCGCAACGAAATCCAAACTTCATACGTCATGTAGTGAGTAGCTATGACGAAATGGGAAGTTTGGCCCGGACCTACTTCGCCCGTTTGCCCAATTTGGGGTCTTTCTTTACGAATCCACGGTCAGGTACTAGGTACCCATCCACGGTCAGGTACGTAACACGCCTGGAAAGGCTCAAGTACACAAAGAAATATTTTAGAGTTGTCGAACAGTTTTCTCTTTTGAGTGTCTCTCCGATAAGAGAAGAACAATGGCCACTGTTGAACCTAAAGCAAAGCGCTCCCCATTGTCGCCGGAGTGCAGTGTCTCTGTGGACGATATTCGTCAGTTTTTGTTCGATCTGGGCTCCTCATTTTCTTCTCTCGATTGTTGGAAATTGTTAATTCTTCCAGCACCTGGATAGAGATTTATTGCTCGAAGTCTGTGCTTCTCACATGCAATGGAACACCCGTCAATTTGAACCGTCTGGTTGTGAACCCAGCAGGAACATTCACTGCAGGTTGAAGCACATCTACTTCGAAATCGATCGGGTCTTCATGCCGTGTGCCAAGAGCTATTTCCATCAAATCTTGTAAATCTATATCCATGCCTATTCTTGCTATCCCGGAGTCACGAACTCTCCCAATACAAGCTTTTCAGACAACGAGCAGAGAAACTCTCTTCAAATAAAAAAATTCTGTGACTGTGAAATCAAAGCCGTTCTGCTGACACTGCATAGCCCGTGCAGCAAACGTTTTACGTGACACTTCCGTGGCTTGCTTCAAAGCAACCTTCAACTAATTGGAACCCCCGCCGGATGTACCAGATATGCACATGGGGATATGGCCCCATCCGCCCATGCTTGCCCGGGGACCGGATGACGCAATGTTTGGATTTCGTTGCGCCAGACCCCAACCTGGAGTTGCACACTCTGTCTCTGGGGGGTTATGGACTCTTGGCTACATGCACATGCCTTTTGAAGTACATGTATTGAGAACCTTGGCAGCGGAAAGAGCGTTTCAAAGAGCCCTAGAAGGCTAGATTGTCAAAATCAAGGGAACAGAACATAAGTGATGGTGGAGTGAACTACAACTGGCCAATCGCTGGCCAGTGGTGGTGAAGTGTGCAGCATCTTGGCCTGATGAGTACAACAAGTGTCTTGCTGCTATGCCCTCCAACACGGACAAGTCAGCAAGCAAGCAGGGCCCGCACCACATACTAACCAGGGAGTAGAAAATACACGGTATTTTACTACTCCCCTACACTAATCTCAAGAAGGGCTGAGGGCTTCCTGCAGCTTCATCTCTGAAATAGGGAATCTATTTTCCTTATTTCCCTGACACTACACACAGCGCAAAACAACACGATTCAATACCAGCGTTGATTGAAAGGCACATATTATAATTATGATAGTGCCGTGTCACAGGACGCCCCTGTGTACCGGCGCGAAAACGTGGAAAAACCTGATGGCAACCGACCGTCATACTTTGCACATGAAGCACCACCACATCGTCCCTGTGGCAGATAAGTCACAGAACATTGCAAGGAGGGACCCCGCTGACTACACATACTTGCAACACTGGGGAGTGCATCCTAAAACGAAAACAAAAAATCTTGAAGAAGTCAAAATAATTATGCGAGCGGAGTAAAAACAAATGTAGCGTGCGCTCTATCGCGCTGTGTCATGGCCCATCGGCGGGCAGATGTTTTGAGACTTTATAGAGCATGCATTCATGGTCAATGTTCAATAGCAACAACAATTACCGCTTGTGCTGAACAAGGGTTGCAACAGCTAGAACACAAGTCATGAGTCATTTTGTGGAAAGGCAAGTACGTGGAAGATATAGAATTGCGTCGAGCGGCAGACGTACTCCTAGGAGGAGGGGTTCTGAACGACAATTAGGAAGAACTCCTTATCTACAGGGCAGACAGAAGTGGACACGTGTACAGCACAACGCACAGATGCACATGTACGCACGCAATGAGAAAGATGGGATGTGTCAACGCGCATACATGATCCCAAAGGTACATTGTACAGCACACGCAGCTGTTCACTTTGCAGTGGAAGTACTGTGAGCAGTGGAAATTCCCTACAATCCTCCGGATCTGGACGGGAGAGTGACTCCACAGAGGCTGGCTGTAACTATGGGTCACACCAAGAGTACATAACCCCCAAGAGTGTGTGCAACTCCAGCTATAGGTCCGCGACGGCAGAACTTCACATCACATGACAAACCCGCAAACATGATTATTTCACACCCTGCGCATGATAGATACAGGGTTGTTGTTGTTGTTACTTTATTTTACTTCACCAGAATTACAGGCAGTAGAATGCCTCTCACTAGACCAGGTCTAGTTCTCACAAATGATGAAGAGGTTCAACTCTCTTGTGGTCATTTTGCACTGTTTGCCAGCGTAACCGTTTCGAACCACGTCACGTAATGTGAAGTTCTGCCGTCGCAGCACTGTGTAGAGGTTGTACAGGTGTAGTTGCACACTCTTGAGAGCAATGTACTCTTGGTCACGGGCAGCAGCAGAGGGTGCAGTGTTCCTGGTGGCAGAACTGGGGCCGTCAATGGAGAGTAGGGCAATTCTGGGCCGTCATCCCGTATGCTCATGCCTCTCTTATCCGCATATCGAAGTTACAGGCAACTCCGTCCACCGGGCACCCAACGGGCAAGTTCTAGTGGAAATATTACTACTCTTTTGACAACAATCTTTTGTGGAAATAGTGACATCATATGCCAGATCTCCGGTACTTCCCCACCAAAATGTATGTGATTCAGAAATGCGGATGTTTCCTAGTCACGGGCAGTGCCCGGTCCCGGACTGCCCGGAAAAGAGAGATTTGGGCTCACAACTTCACATACTGTATACCGTAGTTCCGCGCATATAAGCCCATGGGCCTATATCCGGATATAAGCCCACCTCCGTTTATAGGCCCATGGGCTAATAAACAGACCCAAACACCGTACTACAGCATGTCAGTGCAGACTACATTACCAGTACCGGTACCTATGGTAGGCGGACAACCGGCACGGACTTGTACTTTTTCGCGTGCCAGCTGCCTTCAAAATTCGAATATAGGCCCAGGGCTAAAAAACGAACCATTGCATAATTTCGTATATTAGCCCATGGGCTTATATGCGCGGAACTCCGGTAAGCAGAAATATTCGTCTGGAATTTAATTTCGTACTTTTCGTCCAAGGAGCTTTTGGACAAAATTAAATGCCGGACTAATGCCGATTTAGTCCAGCTTTTGAATACACTCTTATGATCCATGGACGAAATTTACAACCGGACGAACTCCCTTTCTTTGGAGTTGGACGAAATTATTGACCGACGAAATTTTCTGCCTCTACAGTACTGTAAAAGATGTAATTATTTTCGGTGTAACTTTTTTTAATTTCGGTGATTTCGGTAGAGAAACCAGGCACCTAAATTTAATTTACACCTAAAAGTCACTAGAGTATGAACTGTATGCGGAGGAAATGCTAGTCACCTTCATAATCCTACATTACACCTGAAACCTGGCAGGTCCCTGGCACCGGAATTTTAATGCACCTAAAATTACATGTTTTTATGATACGGTAGTATACTCGTACGCCAAATCAGCGTTCTTCAAATTCAGGTTTGTACTGAGATGTACTTGCCCTACCAGGATTGCAATCCACTCAAGCAGCCAGCCACCCCCCCCCCAATAGCTCTACGTCCCAACACAGACTCCCTTTGTATACAAGTACCTGGTGCGACAAACAACTGTGGACATACCTGGTGCAACGAGGATTTCGTGCTTCTTGGAACGAATGCGAAGAAACGTCAGGTCGTCCTGAGCGAAAGCAAATAATCACTCAGATGGTGAGCCAAGGAAAATATTTTAAAATTTAAACAAGGAAAATTGTGGGGCACAAGTTATGCAAATAATAAATAATAGAAAAAAATGATCGTGTCCGTTCCCGTGGCTTAGGGAACTCACGACGGCAGCTAACACCCGGTAAAGCCTAGCGAAAGCAAATACAGCATGGTACTATAACATCCAGGTTGGCTTTGGCTTTTTCCTGTTCTTCTGTGACTTGTGGAGGCATGTTGTGCTTTGGGACATGCAATGTGACAGTCACCTGCACGCAACGACTGTTGCACTAACCTGGATGTTTTACCATGCTGTATTGTTTTGTAAAAATAAAAAAATAAAATGAAAACAACTTCAAGGAACATGATTGTCACCAGGTCAGGGTGCAACAATCATCTTTTCTTCAGACATCCTCAGCAGGACACACTACCAGTATCTACAAGAGTACATGAGCGTGCCACTCTGATCGCTGGGCTAAGGTGCTCCGTGCAATGGCGCTGTGTGCCACGCGCTGCCCCCATTACGTAGTGAAATGATGATCAAGCTTACTGGATTGGAGTTTTTCCCTACAGTTTACGAGCAACAAATTCATGCATAATACGGGAGGTTCAAAAGCAATGCCTGTGTGCGACGCATCACGTACAAAAATATCCAAAGTCTCAGATAAAACCGAATTCGGAAGCTGGAAACCGTAGCAGATCAATTATGATGCAATGCGCCGGCTGATTACCCAGGTCGTGGCTACATAATAGAGAGGTTAAGATGCACGTTAGTTCCGACGCGACACGCAATTTCACGTCAAATTTGGCGTCAAACTCCAAATTTCGACGCGAGCTACAGGTCACTTGCGTTGTTTTTCGACGAGCGAGCCAAATAGCGCGAGCTGAACTTTCACGTCACATCAGAAATAACGTGCATCTTAACCTCTCTAATGTTGGCAGCGCGCCACACCACGCCAGACCCGATGCGCACAGCTGCATACTCTAGGGGGTTATCTACTCTTGCCAGTTACAACTGGTGAGCACAATCATATCACCAGGGTGCATGCTTCCATATTTTTAGAGGCTGCCGTGTTCTCAGGCTCCACGGTCTTCAGCGCATGACTTCACCACCAACGGCCATTCAAAAATATGTAACAAAGACCTGAGGTAGAAGCAGAGTGGGCACAGCGGAATGCTACTCACTGCTGGATCGATGTCACGGATACACGAGCGTGCCTTGCTCGTCAGTTGGTGGATTAGACTGGCGTAGTGCACGGTGGTCGTGTTGTCCAGGCTGGTGCGAATCGGAATGCCTGGCAGCAACCGAATGATGCACATGCACAGGTGCACAAACACACACACACAGATACACGTGCGCACGCACACACAGCCACACAAGCGCCCACAGACACGGCCACAGACACACACACACACGCGCGCACGCGTAGTCAGGAAGGCATACATCAATAAACATGTGATGTGCGATTGTGTTGGCATATGACTAATACATGTACTACTAGTAGCACGAAATCAGTTGAACTGAAGTGGATTTTCACGTTTTCTGCACACAACACGTTCCCCTGCATGATTACTCAGCACTTAGAATTAAACACGAACAAAACAGCAATTTCAGGCCATTGTTGCGCTCACCATCTGAGTTTACAACGATCGTCCCTACAACGCCCTTGTGGGACGCAATTTTCTTGATGGCTTCATCAATCTCCGCCTGCATTCACCATAGTTGAATACCACAACAACTGTCTGCGTCAAAAGCTGCTGACAAAAATCCATCTACAAGAGAACTTTGGTCAATACCATAGCTATGTCGTGAATTCTCCTCCCCTCCTAACGTCTTCGAAGGCTTGAATATTCGGAGTTAGAAACGTTTTGACAGTATGTCCCGAGTTCACCCAGTTGGGCTTCGTTCAGACGCCCCCACCAAAACTCCTCGCTACATGTATTTCAAAACAACCTATCTGGACAGTTATTACATCAACACGTAAGTCGTTCCTACGACTATCGAATGTGACTTTATAGTAGTTTGATTCCTGCAAACATACAGAGCTTGAAAATTTTGGATGTGAAATTATGGCTCAGCTGAGCTCATGCTCAGGAGTCAGGACTCAGCTCAGGTGCCTGGTCAGGCCCTGGCATGTGCATGCCCCGGCATGCCAGGCAGGGAGTCGTACAAACCGGGGGCCCTGCCAGTTCCCTGGTTTCGAGTCATTACCACGGCAACGAGGGGTTGACTTTTTTTGACGGGCTGTGAACGTCACGTGGACGTGTCCTTTTTTCGCACACGACCGAGGCTGACTGACTCACTGAGTGACATGTCGACAGGACGTTTGACGTCTGGAAATTTTTTAGTCTTTGACTCATTACAGCATCTGATGATCTTAGCAAAATGAAGAGAAAGGGCTTGAAATGTTCGAGTTCGAGTGATACACAGCCACTGTCTTTCCGTGACTCGCTCAGCCAACCACAGCTGGAATGGATGTGTGGGAGAGGGGACGAAGTGACCCATGGCATCGCTAGCCATTCTGCAGTTTTGCTGGGTCCGCAACTCTGCTGCTGTAGCGCCCTGGTTCAACCGTTGTAAATGTTACAGGCCAGGGAGGACAGTCGGGTATTTCCCACTGAACAACTAACAGCGTTTGCAGGAGGCAGCCGCAGCAGTGCAACCCCAAACAAGCCCGAACAACTAAGTTACTTCTCGTAACAAGATAAAATAGCAAGCTACATCAAGCTAAATCTCCAGTGCCGCTGCAGTGATGTTGATGGAGAAAGTGGTCTAGCGAGCATCAATACAGCATTTGTGCGTTAGTCGAAACGGTGCGCATTCTGCTCTGAATTCCATGACAGAGACTTGAAAAGCAAAAAAATCGTTGGACACCTGTGCACATGTGAGCTCACCTACTAAAAATGATGCCAGCAGCAGCAGCAGCACATTTAGTGGCGAACAGTGAAGTTGCGAAAGACAGGAGAGAGCCAAGGCTCAAGAGCAGTGATGGCCTTTCTTCAGGAGAAGTTTCTCTGGCCAGTGCCAATGCAAACGCTGCAAAGGCAGCAGAAGCTGAAGGCGCTGGCAGCAGAATGCCGCCACCGCTAGTATGGATGTGCACAGCATGCAAGCTGGTGCACCCTGCACTGCTCCCACTGTGTGACAACTGCAGGACTGAGCGGGCGGTCGGGAGCAAGCGGCCGCGGGCGGTTGGGCAAGAAGATGAAACTACCGGCTTGCTAGCGCTACAAACATCGCCCGCAGTACGCATGCAAATGGACGGGCTCCCACCAGCTCCGTCGCCCGAGCCTCTGCTGGATCGGATAAAGGCGCTGGTAGCAAGGTTATCAGCAAGCGAGATTGAGTCTAAGAGTGGCGGTACGTGTAGCAGCAAAGCAGAAACCAGCCAAGGCAATAGCGCCAGTGGAGAGACATCCAGTCTGGCTACTGAGCACACTAATGGCAGTACACCAACCAATAGCACAGCGCCGCCGCTCCGGCGAACAGTGAGCACGAGCACGTCAGGCGAGTGGCAGTGTATGCTGTGCACGCTGGTCAACTCGGCGTCGGCCGTGAGCTGCGCCGCTTGCTCCGTTGCTGCGTCGATGCCGCCGATCACTAATGGACACCGGCAGTTGAGTCGGCGCCGCAGAGGGGTTGAGGGTCCTGCTTCAAGCACAGCCAGCGTGTCTCCGTCAAGAAATCATTTGACATTGTTCAAGCCTGCGGTTTTAAACGGCGAGGACAGCCAGCCCGCTGATGTCATAGCCTCGTTTGTCATTGACAATTGTAGATCTGTGAGTAGTCAAGTTACCATTCAGGCAATGTGTGTGTGTGTGTGTGTGTGTGTTTGTATGGGCACGCGTTTTCATGTGTGTGTATGTATGCATGTATATACACATACCTGCCCCCCCCCCCCCCCACACACACACACAAACACAGACAGTGAAACCAAGAGAACATGTTGTTGTTGTTGTTGTTGTTGTTGTTGTTGTTGTTGTTGTTGTTGTTGTTGTTGTTGTTGTTGTTTGGCTTTATTTAGAGTGGAGTTCCAAAACAGGCCTAAACCTAATGACAATGGTCCCACTGATAATAAGAGAAAAGAAAAATATAATATTATAAAAAAAGCAGACAAACAGAACAGAGAAGAAGATAAGTTAGATAACTAATATGAGCACGGCAGCAGGGGAAGAAAAAACCATACCCCCTCCCAAGAGTGTGTAACTCGACTATGGGTGCTGTCCCAACAGAATTTCAAGTTGACGTCATTTTTATGATGCAATGCGCACTGCACGCGGATTATCAGACGAATCCGGAACCTGTGGTGGACCAAAGCCCATCTGATCCTGTACAAATTCTTGCAAAGAAAAACGTGTGATGCGTTGACACCCGCACACATGTTGTAAATCACTGGTGCAAGGAGCATTGCATCATAGATAATGACGTCAACTTGAAATTCTGTCGGGACAGCAGGGCATGTGGGAGTTGCACACTCTTGGTGAAACCTGTCTAAGACGACCGCTCAAGGGACCATCAAAACGTGGTCTCTGTTACCAGGTGGTCTGCTTATCCAGGGTAATTTTACTGGAAGTAGCATCCATTGGTACTGGTTGCAGTGGTCTTCTGAGACAGGTAGTCACCTTATCCGAGTGGTCGCCTTGACAGGTTGTACTGTACATACGGTGCTGGTAAGATGAAATCCGATCATACGAGTTGATGTCATGCCGGGCGCAGTGCAGCCCTAGACCTGTGAACACTGGGCAGTGCACTGATGCAGGGTGAAAACATAACTCTAGGAATCGGTATTGATCGCCGGTGCTGTACACACACACACACACACACACACACACACACACACACACACACACACACACACACACACACACGCACACACACTGACACACCTCAGATCTGCCCATCGTGACAGCAATGATAGCGAACAGCTATGTTAACGTTAGACATCGCAACTTGTGCTGGGATTACACCATTCAACAGCTTGACACCCACACGGTACATGTGTACGAGTAAGCTTGCA